TTACTTACTTACTTACTTACTTACTTACTTACTTACTTACTTGCTTACTTACTTACTTACTTACTTAACCCCTAGCGTTCACAGTATGCAAACTTGAGCTTCGCGGACTTTAATTTTGTTGATCAAAAAAAATTCGACCAATGTAGCCCCGTCAATAACGTGGTCCATCAAACTCATGCCCTCAATAACGTCCACGCCTCTAAACTCCAAATGACGACAATCGTCTGAAAAATACATAGGATGTACATTCTAAATCATCATCAAAATGTCCTTTATTTCTAACTTGTCTGGCTGTCTCAAACATACTAGTCAAACCTACCATGCTTCCTCTATTAATTAGGTGGGAACGTTGGAGTAGAGATTCCTACAACTTTACTGAGACCCAGGTGTAGAGCGATCGTTGCTGCCGTCATTTTTACGTACCTTTTTTTGTTCGTGTTGTATTCCTAGTGTTTCGTATGGCCAATTATAAAGAACCTTGTTAACGGTGCAGGTCGCCCCATCTTTGTAGCGTGACCAGAAACTATGCCGGTTACTATAATGAGCTAAATATTGTAAACAAGGTTCTCCTATAAAGCACATGACTTGCTTCATTTAGATTTAGACGAACTAAACCTAATCAGTGAAACGAACCGGGATATGTGGAGTTTTGGAGCCGAACGAGTATGTTTAAATCAGATCGCATGTCCAAGTAGATATTTCCTTCTAAAAATAATGAAACTTTGACTTTAAGGAGGCTTCCTTGGGTTTCATGACCACGCGAAAGCATAACAAGGCAAAATTTAGAGGAATTTCACCGAAGAAAACTTAAAAGAAATAACAAGTAATAAAGACAACGTATGGCAAAATTTGTGTCATTCTTTAGATGCTCTGTTGCCATGGCAATGACATCCAATAAAGTAATAACCTAAAGAGAAGTCTAATGATGTAAATTTTATTTCTGGTGAGTCTCGGAAACAAAAAAAACAAAGCTAAATTAACCAGGCTTCCCTTTCTAAGTGACGTTAGGTTAAGGCATTGGTAAATACTCTGGAAGCCACCTTAAACTGATCTTGAAATATGAAAATCAGTTTGACGCTGATGAATATTTTGTAGTCGCTTTTGGGCAGATATAAATCTTATCAAAATTCCTTTTTTTTATATATATATAATTAACCCAATCAGATGATTTTTTTTTGTTTTTTGTTTTTTTTACTTTTTTAACCCATTCGAAGTTAACCGTTTGGCAATCTACGACTGGACAGATATTTTTTCTTCCTATCTGTACTAAGGATGTTTGCTTATTATCATTCGAGTCCTCTGACAATTTTGGTCCACTTTATACATAAGGAAGCAATCACAACAACTTATCAATTAAAAGGAAAACTAACCTTCAGAAGCTCTTACCTCGGGATTCACACAAAACAAGAAAATGAAAATATACTTGCAGGATATGAAAATTATATGCATGGTTAATTTGGTCTGAGTTTCAAAGACAATCTCATCGCCATGCATTTGGTTTCGTTCGTTAAGGTGATTGAAAACAATAACTTATTAGTTTTGCTTCACTTTTCTTCTCTTTTATTTTCTTGCTTTTTTGTGAGCTTGGAAGTTTCCCTGCTGTTTAATCAATATTCTAACCAACTGCCACTCTATTATTTAAATAAACAAACTCTTTGGTTTTGGCCCGAGCAATTTGCGTTTGTGGAATTTGAAAGTGGGGGGCAGTTTCCAATTTACTTTACTCTGGAGTATCCTACATTTTGTATTAAAAACAGACCTAACTCACATTAATATGCTTGTATCAAAAACACCTGTTTCTGTAGTTGTAATATTGCCTCCACTGCGTTCACGAACTTCGGTGGCAGAAAAACAACGTTCTAATCTTCTTGTTCTTGTTCTTGCTAGGTAAGAAACTTTATTCGAACACTATCGTCATAGTTTGTGAAACGACTATTTTTTAATTTATTTAGAATTGCTATGCAATTTACACAGAATGTTCCAGAATTGTTTAGTATACACATATTTTCAATACAATTTCGCTATGTAATCTCGGGAAGTTTAATACTCCAGCTCTCTATGAGCCCTAACTGTTTTCATTAAAATAGATCTGAGAGAAGATTCCGCAGATCTATTTCCTTCTTTATATTCCACTTCCTATTTTAATAGCAGTCTTAACTATTATTATCTTAACTATTACTATTATCATTATTATTTTTTATTATTTATTATTAACAAGAGCATCTACAGTGATAATATACTCATAAAGGTGAAGTAGTTTTAGCAACTAAGAAATCTCTTACTCATTGGGACAATAACCTGGGATAAGTAAAACTACAAAACTGTGAGAAATGCAGAAAAATGGTGAGTCGGAGAAGTCCTTCACTAGTCATTAATTTAGCAAATAATTTTGTCTATGTGTTTATTTATATTTATTTATTTATTTATTCATTTCTATTTTTTGTTCTTACACACATACATACTGTGTCGGCAATTAGGGTCTCTGACATAAGTGTTAATCACTCGGTACTCAGCTTAACTTCCACTGTTTCCATTTTAGTTTCTACTATGATCATAAAAAGAACTTTCTGAATAATATATGGTATATAGACTTAGCCAGGCCTAAAACCAGAGATTCCTTTAAATAGTAATCATTTACTCGACGCTATAACCTTTACAGTGAAACCGGATGTTCTTTTGATGGCAACCTTGCAAACTTCCGCCGCAACATTGGTAATTTGATTGGCAGTTTGAGTGGAGCAAGTTGCAACCCGCGCGAACAACTTGCTCAGTCCATTTCATGCCTCGTTGTTGCGACTTGCTATGATTTCCAAAATGTTTTTCAACTGCTACTGCAGGATTTTGAGGATATATTTGCAATTTTCTACGTTAGGAGCCACTCAACAACCACAACGAGCTTCTCGATCGAGCGCAAACAGCAACACCAGCCTTTCAAAACGTAAACGAGGATCAAATAGTAGTATCAGCAGTTGTATCATTTAACGAAGTGTCATTGGAAACGTTTAGTTTACATGTATTGGAAGCTTTCAGAAAAACTTCTCCTTGCAGATCATATATTTACCTACGTGTCCATTAAACGGAGGTAAAGGAGAGTGAAAAGAAGTTTTAATTTGAAAGAGGCATCGATATCGTCGCCATCGTAGCAATAATTAATATATCAAATACGAAAGATCGTATTTGACCAGTTTTTCAAACACCGAGAAGAGAGTTGAAAATACGACACGTAGCGGAGTATTTTTGACGACATTCGAGGTGTTTAGAAAGTCAAACACTGTATTGAGTGTTTGATATATCTTCTCAATCGAAACTTAGGATAAAACGAAGAAATAAGATCGTAAAAATCTATGCTAATTAAGACCAGATATCCAAACACCGTCACCGTCCTGATTTCCTTTGTTTAAACTTGATGAATTATTAATGAGCTTGAGAAGAGCTGGTCAAAGACTTCAGGTTTATTTACAATTTGATAATATGTAGCCGTCTCCAACTCAGACGCTGGGCTTGCTGTTGATAATCATTTATTGCAATTTCTAGTGATATTTCAAATATTCAGAATATTAATTTTTAGGATGTTTGAATAAAAAAAAAATTATGTAATGCGAACGCATAAAGTTTCAGTGAAAATACAGTGATTATCCAGGAGATTAAATTAATTGGATTTCCCACAAATTTTGAACGCATACAATGCCCGTCAATAGTTTCACATGCTTTATTAGGACTGAATGAAATGACTTCAGTTATTTACTTGTCCATGGAAACTAACTTTAAATGAAAAATCCGCAATGGTCGATGTTTACGTCTTTAATAATCGAGCTGGTGTTGCTTTTTTCACGCGATTGCGAAGCTCGTTGTGGTTGCTAAATGGCTCCCCAACGGCTCCTCAACGTGAAAAGTCGCAAATATATTCTCAAAATAATGCAGCAGCTCTTGAAAGGTCACTAAGTAAAGTGGAAGATCTTATATTTGAATCAGAGAAAGTAATTAAACGTGCAGTCCTATTTTGTAGTTTTTGGAGTCTCTCCGAATGACACACACCTATGGTTCCCAAAACAGCCATATACTTACCAAAGCTATTTTGCTTGATGCAGTTAATGCAAAGACTGAAAATTTCGTTCAAAAGCCAAGCAAAAACGCACTTGGACAGAAAATATCTATTACAATACTAAAATGTTATTATTGTGACCGTTTTTACTTCCTGAAGTCCTGTCTAAAGTCCTGGCTAAAGATACCTCCACATTAGAGATAACAATTTCAAGTTTAACAAACAAACCAAGAACCTCACCAGCGTTTTTCTTTTTGGTCACAAAATCATCAGTATTTGTTCGCAAGGAGAAATAAGTAAATTTTTTTACGATCGATAATTAAATATAAAATAATGGCATAGGGGAGTATTTATTACCAACAATTTGTTTCTTATTTAACTCCTTCCTAGACTAGCAACAATTTGTTTCTTATTTAACTCCTTCCTGGACTAAAAAGGATGTACTTGGGTTACAGCGTAGCAGTGTACATGCATGTAGCTATCATGTTTTGTGTCTTCTTTCAACTCAGTCTATGAGATCAAATGAAATAACTGAAAAACTAAAGCCTAACATGAATTAATATTCAGTTTGTCATATCCAGACATGGGTTGCGGATTTTTAAAACCAACGCCCAAACCTCTTTGGTGGAAAGATGTTCAGTAGGTTACGTCTCCCTGAAGATTTGCCATATCGACTGTTACTTTGATGAACATGGTATCATCCCGGACAAAACCACCTTGTCTGAGCTCTGAATGGGAAACAAAAGTCGGGCAACCAGAGGCTACATTCATGTCTGACGTGGGTCTTTTAAAACTCACACAGTTAGGATCCGGGCGAAAGGCGTCAAACACGTCACGGATTCTATCTTGATCCAGAAGTCTGAAATGAACCTTTTGGATGAAAGGCCAAGGTAATAACGCGTCATATTCACCTCTCATGATGACAAAGAACATAGACATGTGTGTCCCTTTGCCATTACCATCCCCATTGGGGTAAAGACGGGCACAAACTTTGTAACCAAACCGGCCAACGTAGAATGGTGGGCTATAAATCGATGGCGTCTTGCCAGAGATAGCTTCGTCATACCGTCGGCTGAAATGGTCGACTTTCCAAACGTAATCACCATTGTATGAAGTCGCCTCTAGCCTCTGAATCTGCGTATCTTGTTCTGACAGTTGGATCTCGTGTAAGGTTAGCTGATGTTCAGCTCGGTCCAAGCGCCTGTCGCAGGCTCGAGTTGAAGACGAATCGCCATAGAGCTCGTTATCATGTGCCGTCTGGCCAACAACTCTTGGATGCGCGAGCTTGTTTTTTAAGACGGCCATCTCCGCCTCATGATGCTTTATCGTATTTAGAATTTCCTGCATCTGAAAGGAAGCAGCATCTCTGTTTCCATTATCTGCCATAGATTTAAAATCATGAAGTAGTTTTTCCATATCCCTTCCTTGCTCGCATATTGACCTCTCTATGATAGATATTTTCGTCTGCTGCGTCTTTATGTTGATTCTAGCTGCTACAAGTTCTTCGTTCTGGTTATGAAGTTGAAGTTCCAAACCCTTTTTTTCAGTCTCAAGACGACAGACTTTCTCTCCTATTTCTTTGGCTATCGCGTGATATTCATTACTTGATTGGTTCATCATGTCCAAGTGACACTTTAAATTGACCTTGATGTGCTCGTGAATAGTCTCCCTCTTTCCCTGTTTAATGTAACAAAAGAGTTTTTTACTTTAAATTGCTCTTCAAATTTTAAATACACATTTCAAAGCCAGCAGAAGTTCTAGTAAATATTGATTTAAGAGTATTTATTTTAGCGGATTGTTTTTAATCTCGCAACAGAGCTCGAGTAATAACTTACTTTGAAATCACAACCGTGAGGAGAGAAAGGACACAGCACCTCCACCTTGGGACAATGAGTAGCCATGTGCACTTCCATCATGTCACGTGGCATAGTCTCTTTTCCACAATGTAAGATGCAATCAATGGGAACCTTGAGACACACTTCCAAATGATCCTACAAAATGTTAAATTCTTCTTGGTAAAAGCGGTTGAGGATGAATAGAGCGGTTTTTACTTGAGCGTCGCACTAAGTTCGCATTTACTTTGGTTTTGCATTGCTACGCATTACAAGTAGCTCAAAAAAAAAAAGAAAGAAAAAAAAAAAANCCCGTGCTTCGTGCCAGCTAGCTACATTTTCTTGCTTGGAGTTTTTACTGATTTCATTTAAAGTATGCGTCGTTTTTGATTGGGCAGAGAAATTACTTAAGTACCACACTCAATTGAAAACCGCTTTATGCGCCATTAAATACACATGCTTTTGTTCGGCATAAATAAAAAAAGCTAAAATGGAAAATAGCTCAAAGATTCCGCCATAATATGGTATAAATTATTAAATTTGAAAGGAACACATCAACAGGAATTCAAAATGGACATTTTTGACCTTCTGTGAAGGACGGGGTGGGGAGAGCTTTAAAGACCTGATCAACCTGTTCCTGTTACAGTAACAAAAAAAAAATATGACAGCTGTAACGCTCGGAAGATTTATAGCAATATCAAAACATGTTGTTTGATCTTCATAACATGGAACTAATACGCCATATCACGTGAAAATGTTGAAATCTTTCCTAACGACCGCCATCTCTTTGTAAAACATTAAAAATCCACTAAAACTGGCCACGCAATATTTTTAACCGTTAAAACGAGCTATAAAGATCTGAAAATAAAGATACTACAAGACAAAGTACTACAAGAAACGTTTTTCATATAACAAAAGGAAAATTGAAAACTTGAAAAGCATGCCTGTCAAAATATTGTTGCACGAGAAAGTCAAGGTCGTTAACCGCTTATGTCATAGTACATTGTTTCCTGATAAATGTTAGGAAAATACCCCAAATTTGGAGTTCACTACCAACCATGGTTCTCAAGTCACAAGCATTCAAAGCTGGTCGTGAACTTAAGCGTCGCCCTNCCCCCCCGCTTTCTCCTCCCCCTCGGCATGAAAACAGGTAACCTCACGTTCCTTCGATTCCCTTCGTTTACGTCTAAATGTAGAAGGATACCTTCATGTCGTTACGTCGGACCTGCCCTCCACAGTACGTACATTCCACCGCCCTGTTTACACATTCATTTGTTGTATGGCTTTCAAGAAATCTTCTTTCCATAACTTTACTGCACGCTCTGCAAAACACGTCACCATACTGACAACTGTCCTCATGCGCCTGGTAAAATAAAATGTTTGACAAAATAAAATATAGGCATCATCGAACTAATATCACTGTTGCATTCGAGTCAATATTAAATTAGCATGAGGCCTTGCAAGCGCGGTGAAATATTGAGTCATACAAGAATTATGCAAACACACATTAATTCGCCTAATTAACATGTCTCCATGCTTTGCTGTCTTCGGCAATCATTCGTTCTTTTGTTCATTCTTACGTTCGTTCGTTCGCGATCTTAACATGTCTCCATGCTTTGCTATCATCAGCGATCATTCGTTCTTTAGTTGATTCTTACGTTCGTTCGTTCGTGATCGTTTGTTCGTTCGTTCGGTGGATCTTTCGTTCTTTCGTCAGTTTGTTACTTCTTTCGTTACCCTATTCCGCTGCATGCAGTCTAGCTTCTCGAGCGGTATTGACCTCCGTTATGATTCACGATTCCACGCTTGTCTTGCCCGCTTAGCAGGTAAAGGAGCAAGTGGCGTGAGTTTGAACCTGTGTTGTAATGCACGGTCGGCCGGAAGCCATTTACCTGAAGTTGTCGAAAGTTTCCGCGCCAGTCGCAATTTCTGCTCTCATATTGGCAGCAACACTGAAGATTCAAAACTTCTCTTTCGCAACATTTGTCAAGAAAGGAAGTATTTCGTGCGATGTTGTTGCCATCTATGGGACATCTTGGACATGAAGATCTAGTGACAAAGAAAAACCCGGAAGCCGCGCATAAGACAAAAAAGTTGCGATCCGTGCAAATTTATCGGATCACACATTTCGTAATATAAAATTAGGGAGATCCAAAATTGGAAACCTGCACTGCAGTTGACACCCTCGAGTCTTAATAGATTTCGCTTTCGCGTAAGCTGCATGCCTTAGCTTAATGCTTCGATCTGATATCGGCTCTCACTTAACAGAGCAGGGATATTGTATTGAGCGTGAAGTACGCGAGGGCTAGTCTAAACTGAGAATTAAGAACAGAGATAGTGAGATACCACTTAAACATTTCAACAATAATTACCGAAGAAATTTAGATTAGCCCTATTACCTTAGAAGAGACTCCAGACATTTGAGACAGAAGCGATGCCCGCAAGAAGTCTGCCATGGCTCGATGAAAACATTCTCGCATATTGGACATTTCAGTAATTCATCTACTCGCTGAAGGAATTTGACCTTGTTGGAACACATCAGTAAGACTAAGTCGCCGTTCTATCTACTGAAGCCTTAAATTCGAAAGTTTTTATGATAAGAACGAAAATCTCAGCCTTTGTCTCGTGATCGTAGTCCGCAGTCCGTTGTTAATTTATGGCAAATCAAGCGTTTTTCGCTTTCAAATTGCAATGATTTCCCCACTTTTTTTAGCAACATTTCCAGGGGGCTAACGAAAGATCGATTATGCGGCTGCATGTTAACTATGTGCAAACGATTCCCGGAAATTTCTGTTGGGAACTTCCGGTCTGGGGAATGGATGCCATTTAAAGTCAGTAACCGATCGAAAAAATCCCCGCTTTCGTCGTCATGTGAGGCAACAATAAAGCGCTGATACTGAAAATGGGACTTTGAGTTATAGCTGGTTATCACGCGATCGCGAATTTCGCGTGGTGCCCAACCACAGACTCTCGTGACAAAAGGCATGGAGCTAATTACTTTTCCCGGGCCTTCGATGATTTTAGTTTAAGAACTTTACTAGTGCAGTTAAGCCCCGGTATTTCCAACTCTCAGGGAAAACCAAAAATAGTTCGAAATAGCGAGGTTCGAAATAGCCAATAGTAGCCAGTAGAAAATGAATGAAAGGCAAGCCCAAGGAAAACGGTTTTGATTTCGAACTAACGGAGAATTCGAAATTACCGACTGAGCTCGAATTGGTGGCGGTCCAACTGCATATATAGTAATTGACAAAGTATTCGTTTTTAGCTAAAATAATCAAACCATGTAGTGACCAGCACGTATGGTACGAACATGTTGCTGTAAAACTTTCTTATTATTCCGATGCGTCTCGAATTTAGTGAGACTCCGCTTGGTCGATGAATTTTATGGATATAAAAATTGCAATGTTTATCGATGTACCATTATAGTTTCAAAAACACTTGTGCGAGATAATTTGTTTAATAAAAAACGGACGAATATCTCAAGACGCTGTGATTTTGTTATGAAGAGCCACTATTTCTTCTCAGATAAAAAAAAAATGGAATTCGACCTTCCTATATTCCTCGTCACTTTAGCGGAGTGCTAGAGCGGAACTTAGTAAAAACGAACCCAAACGACACCGGAACAAACCAGAACGTCAACGACTCCGGTCAAATGGGCCGAAATAAAAGGATCGAATTATAATGAACCGAAACGAACCAGACGGGTGAGAATGGTGAGTAAATAATCCATCTAAGGCCCAGTTTAGACGTCGTGCTTCTGCCGTGCCGAACTCAATTGCAATTTGGTTCGACTGTGACACGGCAGAAAAGCAACTCTGATTCAGACGTCGTGCCAGAGTCGAATCAAATTTAGAATTTACGGATACCTCGTAACAATTCTCCTCCTAACTCCCCGTGGGAACGCAATCCCGCCAAAATATGTTAATATAATTTATGAATTTTGTTTGGCGCGACAGAGGCACGACGTTTGAATCGCTGCCGTGCCAGAGTCGTGTAGCACGGCAGAGCTTATCGAACCTAATTGCTTGCCGAACTTAATTCAAAAGTTTGATTCAGACGCCGTGCTTTTGTCGAACTTAATTTCTGAATTTAGTTCGGCACGGCAGAAGCACAACGTCTGTACTGGGCCTAAACTGACCGAACGAAAGCCAGCGACAGACTCGTGTCTATTTGCGCTTTTAAGGCCCAGTTCAGACGTCGTGCTTCTGCCGTGCCGAACTTGCAATTTGATTTGACTATGGCACGGCAAGAAAATAACTCTGATTCAGACGTCGTGCCAGAGTCGAACCAAATTCAGAATTTACTGATGCTTCGTTACAATTCTCCTCCTAACTTCTCGTGGGAACGCAATCCCGTCAAAATATATTAATATAATTTATGAATTTTGTTTGGCGCGACAGAAGCACGACATTTGAATCGCTGCCGTGCCAGAGTCGTGTAGCAGCGGCAGAGCTTGTCGAACTTAATTGCTTGCCGATCTTAATTCAAAAGTTTGATTCAGACGCCGTGCTTCTGCCGTGCTTTTGTCGAACTTAATTCCTGAATTTAGTTCGGCATGGCATGGCAGAAGCACGACGTCTGAACTATTGTTGGTTTTCAGTGTCACGCCATTCAAAATAGATCCAAATAAAAATCAAAACCGTTCAATAGATTAAGTCCAGAATCTGGGAAATGAAAGAAAGTAAATATGCAAAGACTCTCGCCAAGATTCTGGTCACAGCAA